AGTCCCTGTTAAGATTTCTATTTACCTGCTGCCTTGAAAAGATGGCTTTGCAATAAATGGAGGGTTTTATGCCTATTTCTAAGCCTATTTCTAAGCTGCCTCAGCCACAGATAGATACTTGCATCTTAACGTGAGTTACAAACACAAAAGTACCATATATCATGTGCACATTCATACTGAATTTATTTATATGCATTGTATAGATATTTATAATGTCTTTGGTTAAAACTGTCCATTAGAGTTACAAGAGATGACAGTCCACTTAAATTATTCCACAGTAGGTTCCCACCATAAGAACTTTGTTCCTCCCTGTACACATGCTGCACTGTGTCAGCTAAAGCTAGATAAACACCGAGAAATACTGTGGTGGTTTGTACAGGGCCTGGCTCACAAGACCTTCTCATCCTCCCCCAGGACAGCAGCATGCCCATGTGATAAAATTGCATGGTTCCATTTCAGCTCTTCCCAGCTGCCACTGGGAACCAATGACAGAGGCAGGGGATTCTAATTAGGGTTCTAATTAGGCTGTTAGATACTACAAACACAACAGCATGTCAAGCTGCATACAGCCTAGGACCTACAGAGCACTTGTACAGACACTGTTGTGTTTCTCTGACAAGACTGCCACTGCATTGTGCTCCAAGGAAAGCCCTTGGTAGACATGCTCTGTATGCAAGGCCTACCTCCCCAGAAGCCAAGGGTTTCACTCATCTCTACTGTAATTTCAAGGGAATTAAAGAAGATGCAGCACAGATGAATTTTAATTAGCCAGCTGCCCCCAAAATAAACAGTCTCTTCTTTATTCCACTGAGCCAGGTAGGCAGACAGCTTGGAGGAAAAAAAAATACCTCACCCTTCTGCCAGTCCTATGAGATAAAGGTAGAAATACAGCTTACTCTGAGCTTGTACTGCAGTCCTGCAAACCCTTCCACGGCGATAATGTGCATTTATCAGAACCAAGGCTGTCAGCAGCTTCAGACGCTGGCTCCAGGGAAATGGCTGAAGCACAGGCAATGGGAAGCTCTTGAGCCTCTGCAGATAGCTCTGGGCTATCCAGCAAAGGCTATCCCTGACCCCTTCCTGTCACTTCATTCAGATCATAGTTTAGAAGGAGGCCAAAGACATTTTTCTTTTCCCAGAGAGAAGAATTCTGGAATATTTTGTCCTCTTTGTAACTATTTGTACACGACACAGGGCCTGCATCCTCTGTTCCTGATAGGACCTTACTCAGAGAATGACACCTTCTCCCATATTTCTGGAAGCCCCAAGAACAAGATTGAAATCATATCAAGTTCACTCTGATACAAAGCTGACAGGTTAAACATTAATGGCTTGTTTTTATGTTGCATTTTCATAAAGAAAGGCTGAGGCTATCTATTCCCCTCGCAGTTCTTTCAAGGGGAATATTTTCAAATGATGAAAAAAATGACCTCACCAACATGGCAATGAGAACATTTGGCTATCAGCACAACTTGTCACGACGTGTGCAGACACCACTGCACTGAGAACAGCAGCTGTTACCAAGGCAAACAGCTGAAATAAAAGAGGAAGAAAGGCGGCTTGCAAATAACCGCCTTTGCTAGTCCAAATGGCTCTTAATACTCTTTGTGTAAAGACACACTGTTGTTAACATCTGCTTGAAGTTAATATAAAGAGTTGTTTGCAAATAGCAAAGCTGGTAAGCACCTGCTGCCTTAGGAAAGATGAACTTTTGTGGGCATATAACGTGCTATTTTATTCCCAGCAGCTCTCGTAAACACCGTGCTATACAGAAAAGAAATGAATGGACTTTGTGAAGAGCACTTCAGTTGAAATAGGATAGGACTATACACAAGTACTGCTAGATACCAGAACAGTTTAAGAGTCTGGTTCAGAAATATTCTAGATCCCGAGGATCTAAGTGGTCTTAGAAAGATGACTAAGAAAAGGAAACCAGTTTCCAGTGACTTAGGTTGATAACATTGAGGTCTGTGCATTAATAGAGGTTGAAACTAAGCAAAAGAAGAAAGTTCTTCTCTAGTCTGGTTTTAAAAATGCCCTTGGCATGAGCGCGTTTTAGTCCAGCACAATCTCCCTGGCATGCAGGGAATGCAAGAACTGCACTGTGTTTCCTGCATTTCCAGTTCACTTGTGCCTTCCATCCCCTTCTGAGTGCTACCCTGAGATGCTCCTCCCACAAAAAAATTTCAGATTGACTTGACTGTTAGCTTGATCTCCATCAGGTAAATCAAAATGGAAAAATAAAGAAGATAAAAGCTAGAGTGAGATTGAGCTTTCCGTACAGCATGACGCTGTATACCTTCCCAAGTCTTCCAGCCCTCTATGTTTTCTCCGCGCTGCGCTATTTCATTTGAGGATTGTCATACTGCATGTATCCATGTCATTAGATGGTAGATTTACAGTGGAGCAGTTAGTCCTGGCCCTATCATTAGCAACCTTTTTAGACTTTGACTCGCCTTTTCATTTTGCCTACGTTAAATTATGACTGAAATTGTTTGCAGTTATCAGATTGGCAGGAGATTTTCATACCCTGGCCATAGATGTTTAGACATAATTGAAAACGTCACCATGTTCTGTTAGCTTCTGTAGCTGCAACTCGGTCATAAACAAGAATTTGTCACGAAGCAGAAAAGTTTACAACAAAGGCTCCGTCCATCTCTTATTTCTGTGATTTCACAAGACTACGAGGAAAAATGAAGAACCCCAGTTGTGACACTCCTGTACTGTTATTATGTGTAACCCAACATCTTTTGAGCTCAGTAGATAGCCACTGACTTCAGAGGATGGACCAGGCTTGTAAAGAAGAGTGGAGGTTTTTGACTAGACTTGGCTTATCTCTGTGAGTACTGCTTTAGAAGAAGAACATGCTTGTAATTGCCCAAATCCTTTTCCACCTCTGCCCTTGAAAAGTAAATTAGACATTCTCTAGTCACGTAAGACCATGTCTGAATCTGATTATTTAAAATCCTTCTGTTTTGTTTGTGTTTTCACTAGATAGTCCTTTCAGAGTTCTGGGGGGGGGATCATCCACTTCCAACGATTAAATTCCTTTGAGTTTTGCTTCTACTTTGGTTACTGGACATCTCCTTTCCTTTGTTCCTGTTTGGAAAACTGCCCTTTGATACACTGCTTAGCATCATCATTTGAGCTCGCAGTCTCCTACATAGATCAGGCATAGGCCTTTAGCACCTGAAGCAGAGATTGGCAGCGACCCACCATTCTGTGTTGTATGCAGAACACGCAGATAACTCCTGCATCTTTGTAGCTTTTGCAGAATTTCATTGGTGTTAATTACAAAAGAATGTCAGCTGCTTCTGCTTCTAGGTGACAGTTGCTCCTCAAACAATGACTCTTTCACATTCAAGTTTCTGGAAAATCACACTACTGTATTTATGCAGGTGGAAGCTATAAAGTATGTTGGGAAATCAGAAGGTCAAATTTTTATCTCAAGCCACAAGTTATTAACCACTACTGCCAGTACTACCATTAATCTACTCACTTAAAGCATACATAATTTATAGCTGCAGGTTCACAGTGCAGCGTGGATGGTGAGTGCCATTTCTGTGTAGCTAAGGATTTTAAAAAGACCTGCAAATGCAACGTTCATAATTCTGGATAACCAGGACATAGTGAATTCAGTTGCTATGGTTGCAGGCAACAGATAGGGAAGATCTCTGTTGCACCTCAGGCAGCAATAACTGACTGTGCCACTGAATCCACTTGCATTCATTTTTTACTATAGTAATTCACGGTTGTGCTGACTCTGCTGCAGGTGACATTACTGACATGAGCACAGGCAGGAAGATGGGCCCTGTAAATCGAGTTCCCAGTGGGGGAGCTGTCCCCAGTCTAAAATAATAACCAATAATTACCAAGTACATATGCAGAAATGCTCAGAGTTAAATGTATCCGTGCAACAGTGAAATGTCTTTAAGAGCAAAAAACATCAGCACCTGGTTCTGGTGTATCTCGACCATAAATGATAATCAGTTCCAGAAGGGGATTCTCTTTTGTTGACATTTGATCAAAATCATTTAGCAGCACCGGGGAGAACTCATTGCTTTAAGAGATCACAGATCCTTTCAGAAACAATCAGACCGTGCCGTTACATCAGCTTTGTTACTCACCTGAGTCTTACTGTGCAAGTGCACTTTTAATGCCACTGATGTGACAAAGTGTCTTGCAGTGTATTTATCACTACCATAACCATCAATGGATGCCTCAAGTGGAACAGTACCCCCGTGCTGAAGACTCATGCGCCAAGAGAAGGGTTACATTAAGATGTTAATTAATGTTGTTATTACTTTTCCGTGCTGCTTAAATCAGGGTCATACAGACTGAGAGGTCTGAATACTGTTGGCTACACAAGTGTACCAGTCTTTTTTTTTTTTTAAAGGATGTCTGAAGAATAACAAAAGCATGTGCACCTCGTGAACCAGTTGCATGCTTTGATGTTTTCACTTAGTGCAAAGCAGAAAGTGGTGGCACAGTAAACAATTAAAAATATCCTTTGAGTCCAGCTAAGCAATATCTCTTTCCAGTATTGGTTACCTGGGATGCATTTTTAACAACCTATATCTCCTAACAAAGGCAGCCAATTAGGAGACATGACTCTGTAATTCTCTGTCATTTTTCCACTGTATCTACCTACCTATCGAATGAGTTAGTGCAATGCACAACACTTGGATAGGAAGCTAAATTAATCAGACCAACCTAATTTGTTCACAGCAGTTCTTATAAAAGTCTCTGCTCTGCTGCAGAGATGCTGTCTAGATGAGCAATTTCTGGCATCAGAGTGACACTCAGTGGCAAGACAAGAAAAGTGATTCTCGGTTTCTCAGATTCTTTGTATCTTTTCAATCGGTAGGATGCATAAAATTGTGATCAGCTCATTATCAGTATTCCCTGTTTGTTTGATGATATTATATATGAGCATCACCATTCAGACCAAAACATTTACTTTTGATTACACAAACTAATAGAATGACTGCGTTACTTACTGTATCAGGGTCCCCTCACTCATTATTCATGTGCTGTGATCTCCTGCAATTGAAAAAAAATAATTTGAGAAATCCAAAAATATTGAATTTCATGAAGAACTGACTTGAACAACCATAGCTTTGTTTTCTGCTGCAACTCGAATCTTTGCAATTACTTCAACAGTCTGAAGAACAGCATTTCACATATTTTTTTTATAGTTGAGAATTTTGCATATGCATAACTGACATTTGGTGACCCCTTCAGTTATTTTTTAGACAGAACGTTTTCTGTTGAACATCAAGTTATTGCATACAGTGTCTGAAGGAAAAAAAAAAAGAGATTTTTGCTTTTACATCTGAGAAGCATTTATATATCACAGCACATGTAAATCATATGGAAACTTTAATATTGAAGATGTTTAATAATACTCTTGGCAAGCATTTTGCATAAATACGTTAGGCGGAGTAGCTCTGCAGCAGAGTGGCAGTGTGGTCTGCCTGCCTTTCCAGCCTGGTTTCCGTCGATGCGAGGAAAGACTAATAGTGTTTAATAACCACTTATGATGCTAGAAGTTCTTCTGAGCATGTGGCTGCCTGGAATCAATGAAACTCAACACTATCCAAGGATGTTAACAAGTAAGAGCTATCATCATAAAGTGTTCCTTGTCACACTGTATTTAAAACTAATTTCCATCTATCCCACACAGGGTCCTGTCGCATCACCCACGTCTATGAGGTCTGTCCTAACCAGTGGGTCGTGCCCCTCTTCAACACCTCCTCCACCACCGCCTCCCCCGGGACCTCCCCCCATCTTTGATACAGAAACCCCCCCAAAGGATGAAGGAACGGCATCTCGCTCAGCCCTGTTTGCACAGCTTAACCAAGGAGAGGCAATTACCAAAGGTCAGGAGAAAAGAAATCAAATTCTGACCCTTGAGTCAAACTACATCAACAGCTGTTGTATGTACTGACCCAAATTCCACCAATGTTTTTAAGCTATGTTTTGGCAACAGAGACTTTTCTAAGGCTTGTACTGATCCATCTGGATGAGGCAGCATACTAAAACCCCCTTTAGAAGTAGCAGCACTCAAAATTGTTCAATATTCCTGAAATTTACACCACTTATTTCGAAGTCTCCATTTAATTTCAATGCAACCGTGTTAGACATCTTCAATCCCCAGCAGCTGGTGAACTTCAAAGTTGCAATTACAGTCAGAAGTTATTCCTGTTTCTGACCCACAGTCCGTGTACCAGCCTGTGTCAAAATGTCTCATATGTTGCGTGGAAAAGTATGGCTCACAAATCAGTGTGACAAAACCTTTTCTATTAACACTGGATAGTTGTAATTAAAGTGGATGGCTGTGAATTTAAATACTTACAATTCATATGTCTGCCTCTAGTGCCAAATTAGAAAAAGAATCTCACTTTTCTGGATGTAAAAATACTCGATAGCAAGATCACAGAGCTCTCTACAGATGGAGAGGGACTAAAAGACTGCTGCATTTTAAAGATTTTAAGACAGCCCATCCCGGGTCAAAGAGGTTTTATATAAAGGGCTAAAAACATCTACACCAGTTACAGTTCAGGTGGTTACCCTGGCAAAGCACGAGGAAATAAAAAATATCAACTCATCAGATAATTTAACACAATTGCAAATGACTTAGACACTATCTTTCTTATTTCAATACGAATAGCCTTAGGACAAGACAACAGATTCTCTTCTATAATAACGACCCATTTTTTTCTCCCAAGGGCTTCGCCATGTCTCTGACGACCAGAAGACTCACAAGAACCCCAGCCTACGTGCCCAAGGTCCACCCGCTCGTTCTCCCACGAAAAGCCATACTCCAAGTCCCACCTCCCCCAAGAACTCCCCGCAGCAGAGCCATGCCCCCGTCTTGGAGCTAGAGGGGAAAAAATGGAGAGTGGTGCGTTCCAGTCACAGCGCGGAATTGCACGCTGCACATTGCAGAGCAGCCTGAGCACTGAGCTTCTTGCACAAGGCTGTCCGCGGTCAAGTAGCAACAGATCAAATTTGCTACTACCATGCCTTATTCCAGTTTAGCTTATTGTTCTCTGAGATCTAAGGTTAATTCATTTGTCTCTGAGAATCTAAAATACTTCATCCGAAACAGAGAATGTCAAAACCAACAAATAAATTGTAGCAAAATCAGACAGCGCTCCAGAAACAAATCCCATGAAGAATCCCAATTAAAATCCCTTTTTGCAGGCCGCTCTTGTGAGAAAACATACATTATTAGCAGAGAGCACTTCTTCCATCCTTGTTAACTGATGGAATTATACATTTATTTTTCATCACTCGGTTGCTCATTCCATGCAAGCTCCTCTCTCATGCTTAAAAGTGGAGAAGTATTTTCCTTTTGCTCAATCTACAGAAGACAAAGAAAGCTTTGCTTATAGCATGGAATTTAATTTATGGAGGCATATACCAAACTGTCTGGGAGTGAAAAGCCATGTCACTGTGTTGGTTTAAAGAGGGAGAAAGCAGTAAGCAATTTAGCCATGCAGAAGTTTCAATACGCAGTCATTACAATGGAGTAAAGTTTGCACAGAGCGTAGCCACAATTTACCTCTGCTGTTTTGCATTAGGGCTTTACTACCTGGAACTTCCCTTGTGGATCCCTAGCCTTTCTTTGCCATACATTGACTGTAAACAACCTTTTGCACTTCATAAAGAGAGAAAATTTCTTCACATATTTCTCCTTATTGTTTAAGGAGGAATATTGCTTATTGCAATATTATTGCAATATTCTCCTTATTGCTGCCTGCACCAGCTCACAATATACTGTATACAGCCCTGGACAGCATTGCTGGGAGTGAAAATTTGGTTTGGCCTTCAACATGCTGGTTCTAAGTTGAATGAAAGCCAAACTGCTGTGAAGGCATTCTTACACTGCTGAGAGCAGAATGTCTTTGCTACCAAGTCAGTGGGTTTGTCTCAGTCTGTGCCAAGTTCTTCAGCTCCAGAATGTACACATGCATCACCAAAGGCTGAGGTAGGTGAAATATCCAGCCACCAGTCACACTGGATTTTTAAGCCACCAGGAGGATATTGTTCTGTTGCAGTGATGCAATGACTTGATGATGTGTTGTACTAAGCTCTGACTGTGAGCTAGTTAAAGATAACCAAATAAATAAACTTTCTTCTGAAATAGGAATATCAAGAGGATAAGAACGACCTGGTCATTACCAACACTGAACTCAAGCAAGTGGCCTACATCTTCAAGTGTAACAAGTCTACACTTCAGATAGAAGGAAAGATCAATTCAATTACTATTGGTGAGTGAATAGCTCAGCTGGACTTTAAATGCCAATCTTGAAAAAACTTATGCAATTATAATGCATCAGAATCATTTCATTCATTGTGATGGGCAGATCACCAGTGATTAGCTATGCAGCATGAGACTGGAAACTTTTGTATTTAATGCAGCCGATGTGCATATATTTGCTTTTATCTTGCCTTTCTTATTTATGATTGTTTTTATTTTAGATAACTGTAAAAAGTTTGGCCTTGTGTTTGACAACGTTGTGGGAATCGTGGAAGTGATCAATTCCAGGGATATTCAGATTCAGGTAAAGATCTGTTTGAGAAACAAAGAGAGAAAGAGAACAGACAGACAGAACGAGCCCAACATGTGGCTGCAAGAGATTATTAGAAACTCATGCGCACACGATGAGTGAGAGTCTGGTGCAGCCAAACCTATCTTAATATACAGTGAATTCTGCTGATGTATTTCGGAAGTGCCTATGAAAACTACTGATTGTTACTGAATAGACTTCATTTAGTCCAACACCTGGTTCCAGCGAAACAGAGAGATCTATTCAGTGGAATCATAGAATGGCTTGGGTTGGAAGGGACCTTTGAGGTCATCCAGTTCCAATCCTCCTGCCCCAGGCAGGGTTGAAATATTATTACTTCTGGCCTTAATTTTGTTGCTTTCATGGTAAACAGCACCTGAAATTGGAAGTTTAGCAGTGTTTCAAATTCTGGCAGTTAGCTAATTGGTTTCTGAGCCCAGAAGTTGGTCATTTCTTTTTTTCTTTCGTCTTTTTTCTCTCAATGAAAGCATTCAAATAGACTATCAAGGACAACTAAATGACATAAAGTGAAAGCAGGCTCTTGGATTTCGAAGATCTCCCTGCCAACAACTTGACTCATTACATGAGAAGATAATGCAGACAACTTGCCCAGATACGGGCTGTGAGTCTCTGGTTTTGCCCAAGACAACCAGCGAGTAAAATTTCATCAGAGATCACCTTCTCTTGTGGTTCTTTTGAAATGAAAATATACACTTTTTTAATCCAGATCTTGCCCTCCCTGTACTGGACATTGCACTGTTCAAAATACAGACAGCCTGCCTGGCATTTACAGCACTTCACTCGTTCCATTCCAGAGAGGTCTAACTGTACAAGCTGGGACCAACACAGATGATCTTAAGAAAGGCCTCTGGGATGTTTTATTTTAAGACAAAAATAATTAAATGGAAATGAAATTATATTAAACTGCCTGTCTTCTTCACAAGAAGTGAGGTCTTCTGCTTAAAAGGCTATGCCTGCAGTAAATTCTGTACTTCAGAAATACTGGTCACAGATACCACACTAAAAAACAGCAGGACTTTTTTTGCAGTTTTGCACCTCTTGCAAGTGACTGACATTGCTACCAGCTGCACCAAGCAGGTTTGTCATGATCACTACACAACTTATGGCACAGGCATTTGAACATCCCAGGCATTTGGCTGGTTTCTGGTTTTTTTTTTTCCTAAATAAATAGATTATTTTTATCAGCGCTTCTAGAACTTCTCATGAGAGACAAAAACTCCTATGTGAGGAACAGCAAAACTGTTCATGCAAAGAGGAAATATCTTTACTAAGAATAAAAATTCTTTTGATTAAGCAGGTTCTATGAATATTGCATAAGGCTTCTACAGCATAGAACAGAGTGGAGTTACACTTAAGATTCTGGCTATAAGCTGCCTGATTCTGAAGGATTTGAGCATGCCAAGTGCTCAGAACCTGCATTTTCTCAGTATTTTGAAGATCTGAGCTCATAAATTGCAAATATATCACATATTAATGCAATGAATTACCCTATAATTTTTTCTATATTTACTTCAGTGCCTTACTTCTTGGCTCTCCTTTCTCCCGGCAGCGTTTTATTTTTCCTGCTGTTTGTTAAATGTATAACATTAAACAGAGCCTCCTTTTGCAGGATCTCATGCAATGGAGAGCAAAAGAGAGGAAAGATGAGGCTAGGAAGCACTGATCATTCCATAGCTCAGACTTCAAAAGGAGTGCAGAGTGCAGTAGACAGACCACTTGCTCTTTGTTTGCCGTCACATGTAAGGAACTGAAGCTGAAATTACATTCTAAACTCAAATGATGGAAGACCCTTTTTTTATTAGCGAGTGGCTGTCACGCGCTGTTATTGTTTTACAGCTCAAAGCAACCTTTGCCCTTTCCATACTCTGACCAGAGCGTACTGCTGCTTTCAGCCAGTGGGGAGGAGAGGAGGAATTTTTACTGAGTCAGCCAGTTAGCCAGGTAGAGACCTTTTAACCTGCAGAATGGTCAACGTGAGAAAGTTTACTTCCTTTTGCCCCCCTCAAGTAAATCTTGCGCTTGCTTTTAACGTGATGTAAGAAATACCTTTGAAGATGTAATTAAATTGATCTTCGTGCTTTTTTAGGGCTCTATCTTGCCTGAAGGGGATAAAACCCTCTCCTGTTCTGTGCTATAAATCCAGGAAGAGTTTTTAAGTCTTTGGAACGCATCACAAAACACTTCTTTTGGATGCTGAGATCCTACATTTGCCTAGAATGGGTTGGAGTTCACGTGTTTGATTTCATGCCATCCTGCTGATGAACAAGCTGAATGCTGCCTGAGTATTAGCACAAAAACATCACTGGAAGCAGAGAGAATGGAGAAAAAATTTGCATCAAGTCATACATTAAAAGTTTGCTGTGTATTATAAGCTTGCAGTTGCATAGAGAACACTGTTGTCACCACCAAGAACTTCTAGTGCTTAGCAAATGGTAGCTTCTATCTCAAATACAAGCATCATGCAGGCAGATGACATACAGATCAGATGCTGACAGGCAAAATTAGACCTGGCAGGCAATAAAAATTAGGTTAATAGAGCCTTTATGTGCTTTTTAAGATTCGATAACGAGTATATCTCATTTTCCAGGTGATGGGGAAAGTGCCAACCATTTCCATCAACAAAACAGAAGGCTGTCACATCTACCTCAGTGAGGAATCATTAGATTGTGAGATCGTGAGTGCCAAGTCTTCTGAGATGAACATCCTTATCCCCCAAGATGGCGATTATGTGAGTGAGATTGTTTTTAGAGATTCTCTCCCTCTACCCATCTAGCCTTGCTAGATAAAACTGCTAGGAAAGAAAGAGCTCACACACCACATGTATGAACACGATCAAGAGATAATCCAAAACAACTGAATTTCTGTGTTCTGTTTTCTCAGCTATCAGTGCAGAAAGAATGACTTCTTTGGCAGGGGCACAAACTTCAAAGATTAGACATTATCTCTTTTTTTTCTTTTTTTCTTTTTTTTTTTTTTTAAATACAGATGATGGCTTCATCTCCCATCCACTTAATTTTCTTTTTTTGAAGTTGGTTCCTAAACATAACCTCCCAGTGGGACTCACTTCACACATTATTTGAGAGCACTCTGACTGAAGAGGATGACGCTAAAGTTAGGATAGAAATCATGCAGCTCCAAGTGAAATGATAAAGTATTACTTATTTTCTTCCTAAGACTGCTGATACACAGGCAGCATCTGTAGAATTCTTTCTAGTGTTTTTTCAAAATATGGTTCTTAAACATCACCTAAACATGAGATTTGCCTTTTCTAACTCAAAGGCTCCTTTTTGTCCTAGTAAGAGCTTAATACTTGGCTCTCCATCATTTCTACTATAGCTATCCACTGTTGTGTCACACTGTAGCAAGGCAACATGCAGGTAAAGCATACTTACTCAACAGAGTAGTTTTGAAGTTGCACTGAATGACTCGAGAGAGAACTTGAACTTGCCATAAGTCTTCCACTCTGGAATACCGTATGGCAGAAGAGTTTAGGCTTTACAAAGGAAAAGATGTGACAAGAGAATCTGCACGCTCCACTTTTCCTAAAGTGATTACTGGATGCTGATCTTCAGGCAAATAAAAAGAGAATTATTTTTCAGTGAGTGCATATCTACCTGCTTCTGAAAAAAAAAAAAAAAAATCTTTGATGAGTCTCTCTCCTTAAATTGCCACTGTTGTGTGAAGTCACTGGCTATCAAAACACTGCGAGATCTGAAAGAAAGAAATCCTTTCCTCCACACTTTTGTTCTCTGAGAACCAAGGAGGACCCAATATCTCTCATGCTTTCATTGAACACGTGAAATGGAAGGAAACTTCCCTCAAGGTTCTGCTTTGTTTTGTCTGACCCACAATGAATGCTATGCCTCTCGACGTTTATCACGTGTAAAATGATAGGCTGGTATTTTAGATGTGTTATATCATTTGCTTTCCTCTTTAAAATTAGTCTCCCCACCAAATCTCCACATCAGATCCCTTCTACTGTCTTCCAGGCCAGTCATTGATGGAGCCTAACGTCGTTTCTGACCTGAGGTTTATTTACTTAGCTGTCCCAAATAATGGTGCGAGAGGGATTTTTACACAGGAGTACCACAGCAAGGCTATTTGAAACTAGGTAGCAGTAAGGCTTTTTCCTGTGCGGCATTGAATACAGCTTCCTAGGGTAATGAGGAAGGCCTCTCTATAATCCTGGCATGTCTGAGCTCTCAATGCATTCCCAGTCATGTAGCACTAATAGTATCCCACCACTTTTCACGAGGTATCCGCTGTTTATCTAATCAGCGTTGGCGCTTTTGTTTCTTACCAGAAAGAATTTCCGGTTCCTGAACAGTTCAAGACAGCGTGGGATGGATCTAAGTTGGTCACTGAACCTGCAGAGATCGTGGGTTAACCTGACAGCACCCGGCGCTCACTGACCGCGATCAGACCACAGCCAGCAGAAACAAGGCAGCAACGTGAACAACTAGAAATAGCAGTAGCTCCTACTGCTCTCATAGGCCTTCAAGCATTAGCTGTGCATGCTACAAACAATAACTCGTCTGGCACGCTTTTGTTAGGCACCTCAGCATTTCGAGTTTCCAGTTTGCCTTCACTTACGGTTTTACTTCTCAATGATGTCATGTGAATGTAATGGCTTGAAACCCCTGCCTTCCAACCACCTCATTGGTTTGAAACACTTTATTCGTTAAGTCAAAACACTGCATGATACACTGTTATCACATTGCTTCCGGGCATTCCTTTCTATGTTTCTGCTAATCAAAAACAGCATTAAGACTAAGATGAGATTCTCACCTCTTATGCTAGTCCTGTACAATGCGGTACAAACACATCCTGAGAGAACTATCTGACAGCTCCTTGTAGTTCTCTGGCAATCTTTTTATTTAAGCAAGCAAAAAAGGGTAACTTTCAGCAATATATTTTCCTAATGGAAGATGAAATGATACGATATTTTAATCTAACACTTTTCTAATACACATATTTAGAGGATCCCTGCGTTTTCAGAGATACAAGGTTTTATTCTGGTCCACACAGACTTGCTGTAACCCTCTCGTTTCTTAAGAATCAGGAATTTTTTTGAAACTGAAGCCTCACTGAGCTAACAGCAAATCACCTGAAAGTTTTTGCTCCACAGGTATCTTTTGTTGTTGTTTATAGACACAATCTCTCATGCGTTAAAGTTTCACACTGTATCCTGCAAACTGCACCTTTGCTATTCAGCAAGCTGGCATGGGAAGTACCATGACTGGGCAGGTGGTTTTCCCAGGGCGAGAGGCACGCATCAGATTCACTTAGTTTGCTTGTTAAAGTTCCTTTAAAATCTATCATAGCTGTCATAGCTTCTGCTCATTAAAATATCTTTCCGTTTCTTCCCTGCATTTCTAACACTTACTCAATTTCAATTACACCCACAAAGCAAAGCCATAGATTTATGACCTATCATTTCAGCCCAAACAAAGCCCACTTGGCCCTTCAAGTCTGCTTTCTATAGTCCCTATTGTACATGCTTTTTTAACAAAGGTGGAGTCCTGTATACATTTGTACTATTTCAGCACACAGTACAATAAAATTTTAAAGTTTTGCAGCCAGCATATGTTTTTGATCACTTGTAATACTTGGTAATGGTGAAATCAAAGTGAGATGCTTGCAGAGCTAGTTACAAGCTAAATTTTGTGCCTAATTTACCTTGAAAGTACATTAATCCTTGAGGGTTTTTAACTATCTTCAATTGTAAACCCTACATAACAACAGTAGTGCTCATTCTGCAAGGTTTTGCTATCTGATCTTTAATCTATATGTATAATGTGTTTGCCTTAGTATATAGCATTTTTCAACAGTAAACTTCTTATGGATTAAAAAAGGAAAAATGTACTTGTTTAAATATAAAGTTGCTCAGAGCTTACTGTGCCGTACTGTTTGTCCCACACGCCCTCCCCATCTTAAGTGCCATCTCATTAGCTTAACTGAGAAGCAGTAGCTGCTCCTCCCATCTAAGGAAACATCAGCACACCAGCAGCCATCACTCACCTGACAGCAAGCAGTGCTTGTGCTGCATGTGAGCAGGTGAAGTTGTGTGCATGTAACTTCTGTGACAGCACTGGAACCCAGCTGTTTGTGGTTCTCATTTCTAGGTACACCTGTGTCTTCCAGAGATTTTGTCTAGGGAGATGTCATGACCTGAACAAGTTTATAAGGTCTACCTTCTATTTTCAGCCTTTCCCATTGTTTCTCTACATGCCTTTGGGTACATCCTTCCCATGTTAACAAGCTCCAGGAGCAGTCCCTCCCATATTTCACTTGTGGGAAGACTGTTTCATCTTCAAATCATAATCATGATTTGTTCTGTAAAAGATCTCATTCTGATCTGAACCACTGAACCATGTTTTAAATCCAGCTTCAAACAGGGATGAAGTTCTTGCACAAAAACAGGAAGCCATGTGCTCCCGTGAAGGTATTGCACAAAGCAAGTCTAAAATGCCTTCTGGTGAACAGAAAACAGTGATGCAGCTCTGACTTGCTACAAGGACAAACTCCTTTAGTTCTTCCAAAGGGTTGAGCTTTCTCCTCGAGGCTGGTTTGCTTGTATCAGCCTCCTTTTAAACATTTCAGAGCAAACCCCCTTGTGGCTAAGCCTTCTCTCTACACTCACACTCCTGCAGCGTGCAAGACCCAAGCACAATTGATGAGTTTCTTAACAGGAAGGAGTCCTGTCCAGTCACACTGTGTGCTTGAAGGTCTGACCACACCTGAGAACTTTGTCAGAGAGCAGAGGTTGAAAAGATAAGGAAGGAGGCCTTACATTAAAAGACACAAGGTAATGCTGATAACTGGAGGCATGGAGGCCAATAAAGTCCATGCAGTATTAGGCACCAGAAAAGTAGAATGGGAGAGAGACTTGTTAAACATGCAGACTTCTTTTATCAAGTATGCAGTCAGCCATGTGGCACTAAGTCATAACTGTGTTTCGTCAGCTGCAATCCTTGGGAAAAATATTTGCTGTGTGTTTTCAGGCTGCTCTCTGCAACCTGTCTTCAAAAATGCAAAAGAATGCAAAATAAACAAGATAAATCTTAGGTTCTGATTCTACCCTATATGAATTCATGTACAATTAAATGTAAAAAGCTCCTTTTTGAAAGAATCATTACATACATCTTGAGTTTAAAAATAGTCACCAAGCTGCAGAATGATGATTTGAAGAAAGATCCCAACTGCGGTCAGTTGCATCCACATCCTCACCAGCAAACGTGAGCTGTGTTTAAAGACTTACTGCAGCAAGGAATGAAGCACTAAATGCTGAGCAGTCCTAACATTCTATCAGTCTTTTCTTCTTACTACATGCTGCCACAGGAGATATGCCATGTATTCCAGATTGGTCTGCTGTATAATCAATGAATGCACAGATGCTATAACTAAGAAATATACAAGAGAGTGTGGCTAAGCAGGTTATTACACCAAAAAAGAATAGACAAAGAGCTTACCCTTGTCCTGGGCTCACTGGAAAACTTCAAACTGAGGGATCTCCAAAAACAGACCCTTTCACACTGGCAGCCAGCTCTTAAACAGGTCTAGGAGAGGTGTAGCCAGGCTCCCCCCCTTCCGGCACACAGCTGAATTGCCTTCACCTGTGCTCCTGTGGCTGACTCAGTGCTCGTCTCAGGTGGGTCAATCAGAGGTTCAGGCTGTAATTCAGCAGTTGCCATACAGTCTGCACTGCTTTGAAATTGTGCTTCTGTTCTGAATCTAAACAGAGAACAGTATCTGTGGTGCATACGTTGTTGCGGAATGAATGTGTATGGTGTAACTAGCCTGTTCATTTTTATAAACCTCCGTGGGTCAAATGTTCACTAGGCTGCAAATTAGCTGGTAAGATGCACGAGAGATTTTGATGTAAGTTTTCATATGTAAACAGTGTTTTTCTTGTGAGATCTCACGCTTTCTTCAACAGCTCCTCTGTAAAAGGACCGCTTCATGCGCAACAAGGAGAAGGGCCAAACCCAGGACAGGCTGGGGCCTCTCAGGTAGAAAGCAGCAGAACAAGGGGCACTGGGCACAAACTGGCACACAGGAGGTTCTGTCTAACCACCAGACATCACTTCTGTGCTGTGCAGGTGATGGAGCACAGGCACAGGCTACCCAGGAGCTGCGGGGTCGCCTCCTTGGAGATGTCCAGAAGCCGCCTGGCCACGGCTCTGAGCACGCTGCTGGGGCAGAGCTGGGCCAGGTGGGCAGAGAGCCCTGCCAGCCTCAGCCACCCTGCGGTTGTGCGATACCGGCTTAGTTATTCAGAACATCGCTTCCTTTGTGGAAATGGGAAGTATCGAAGCAGTGACTCCGCGTATCCACCAGATGGCAGAGAGCAGCTGAGGCGCGGGCAATGGCGCGCTGTTCTGTTAACGCTGCGCTCGTGTTCGCAAAGGCTGCGCGCTCTGTCTGTCAAGGGACTGAGAAACCGCTCTCTGAGCGTCACTGTTAAGACGTTAAAAGATCATCTCGGTTAAAGGCCTGAGGGGACTGAGCGCGGAAGAAGAAAAACCATCTTCTTGTTGGAATAACATAAGACTGCTTTTTGAACACCGCTACTTCCACAATTAACACCGTCTCCATTAAAAGCACGTCATAAAAAACCCGGTCGTGGCGCTAATACTCAACAGAGCTGCAGAGGAGAAAAGGCTGAGCAATGCCAAGCCTGCATTTGAAATCCACAAGTCTTCCCAGCGATCTAGCAAACTAGATCCTTGTTTCCCAGTGCCACTGTTTCCCAGTTGGTCGGATTATCGCTTTTCTTTCGGATTTCGAAAGAAACTCTTCACTGCGTCACACACAGGCGGGAAGGGAGCGGCGCTGACTCGCTGAGGAGCCGCGGCGCCTCGCGCCCTCACACTGCACGGTGGGGGCGGGGCGGGGCGGAGTGGCCCTGCCTGCGCCCAGCCGGGGCGGCTGCGGGGCCGCTGCTCCCCTCGCTAGGGGCGCTCGGAAGCTCCCCGGCCTAAGCGCGGCCCTCCCTCGGCGCTGGGCGATACCATCTGGCGGCACAGGGGTGGGAAAGCCGCTTCCCTCCCGGCGCGCGGAGTTTTTCGGCTTTCCCCGCTCACCCCCGCGCCGAGAGGGAGAGGCGAGGCGCGCCCTGGCGCGTGCGCGGTTCGGGCGGCGTTCGGCGTCAGCGGCGCTGCCGGAGATGGCGGATCCCGGCACGGAGCCGGGCACGGCCCGCAGCGGCGCCGGAGCGGCGGCGACGGCCGGGGGCGCCGAGGACAGGAGCGACGGCGGCGGAGAGGCCGTTCCCGCGTCGCCGCCTCCGCCGTCCCGCTCCGCACCGACGGCCGCGGGGAGCGACGACGGGGGGAAGGCGCTGAGCGCGGCGGAGTACGCGCGGCGGGTGCACCAGTGGCTGTGGGACTCGTACTGCGGCTACCTCAGCTGGCACTGCGGCCTGCCCGCCCTGCTCGCCGCCGGCCCCGCTGCCCGCCTCGCCGCCCCGCCGCCGCCGCCCCCTCCCTCAGCCCCGCCGGGTTCCGCTCCCGCCGCCTACTACAGCCCCTTCTACCTCTTCGCCTCGCCGCCCGCCGCCGCCGCCGCTCCGGGGCCCCGCGCCCCCCCCTCGCCCGCCCCCGTCTCCTCTTGGCCGCCGGCTGCCGCCGGGCTCTCCCCGCTGCCCCGCGCGGCTCCCGGCTCCGGCGGCGGCACTGCGGCCCCGCGGGAGGCTGCGGGCCGGCCGGCAGGTGAGTGAGGGCGGCCTGGGCCGCGTTTGTGCCGTGTTCGTGTGGATGCCGCTCGTTCCTAGCGCGGTTCGGGTGACTGGAGCCGAGCTGACTTCATCTGCTCCTTTCCGTGCTGCGGTGACATCGCCTGGCCAAGTCGAAGGGAAGAAGCGGAGCCGTGGGGCTGGCAGCGGGAACTGGAGTTCGTTTCAGATGTCAGTATTTGCGGAGTGTGTATAGCAGTGCTTCTGTTTGCGTTCTCTTGAGAGCAAAGCAAACTGATCGCGTGCGAGAGAACGCGGGCAGCGTGCAGGTGCTTCCCCGCCGGCTGCTGGAATGGCCGCCTCCTTTATTCCGGGGCTGCCGATGGACGGGCATCCATCCGACTGTGCTGCCGAGGCCCCTGGAAAAAAGCCAGGTGTCCTGGCCCTCCGCAGGGCAAAGTGCAGCGGGCAGAGCTGTGCCGTTGGTGTGAGCTCGCTCCCCGGAGAGCATTTTTCCTTCCTTTTTTTTCTTGTTCTCTTCGAAGAGAAGGGATTCTGACTTTTAAACGTGGTTTGCTTGGTTGCGGTGCAAAGCAGTGTTTGCTTTCGTTCGGGGTTATAGATTGCTTTTATAGATTGCTTTTGAACAGAAGCTCCCTGTCCCTAAGGCAGAGGATACAAAGGTGGATGGAAATGTTTCCTGGGTTTTTACGTAGCTCTTCAGGAACAAATGCAGTATGCCCAAGGCAGCTGGGGGCACAGATTGCTCTTCCTGCTGGTGAATGTGGTCATTCTGAATGCTCGTTACTGTCGTGACACCCGGCCTTCCTAAGGGAATTCTTTGCGTGCTCCCGTGCTCCGATGCAGTCATTTGTGCTCCAGCTTGCGAGGGGATGCATCTGGAACAGCTCAAGTGATTACATCTCCTTTTCTGCTGCGGATTATTGTCCTTGGAGCAAGCTTGGCAGGAGAGGACATGTTTCCATCCTGGTGCTGCTGTAGTTTACAGCCCTGTGTGCTTATGTAACATAGGCTGTCACTTTTTTCAGCTGAACTTTGCACATTTCTAGCTGGAGCGTCAAAAAGCAGAGCAGGTGACCGCCTCTCCCAGCTCAGTCTGCCTGCAGCCGAGTGTGAAAACATGTTAGTTGTACGTTAGTCGTACTTAGTTGTACGCTGGGCAGCAGCAAGCTTTAGTTGGATGCTAATTGTGGTTTAAGATGCTTCTCCCCCTTGCCCCTCCCTGCCTTACTGTAGCAGGTTACCACTCTTACACTAAGCACAGTAGAACAAAGCACGCTCAGACACAGTTGCCCTGTGTCACTGCCTGATTAGTGTGACCCCTCCTTCATGTGACAGCCTGGGCTTTGAGCTGCGCGTTGCTTTCCGCTGTCCCCACCACACATGTTAACTTGTGATGTAAAAAACATCTCCTTAAATTGCTGTGGGGGAAATACGCTGAAGTCTCAGCAGGATTTAAGATAACTTGAATACTTCCACAGCCACAAACTTCTGCCTTCCTCGGTCGCTGTGTCTCTGTGTCCAAATGGCACTGCTGCTGCTGTCAGCCACTGTGCTGCATTTGAGGAGGGCATTTGCTCTGTGCTTTTTGCTGCTACGTGCTTAAGCTGGGCCAGCGGAGGCTGAGGTACAGAATCTTCTGTTAGAAGTTTTTTGACAACTTGGATATGCTTCAGCAGTGCAAACTGGATCTATTTTAGTATTCCTTATGTAAGTCATGCTGCTTGACAGATAGTATCAATGTGGAGTTACCAGTGTAAACAGCTATGAAGGGAAGATACAAGCTGAGTCGCATTAAGCAAAAACTTGCTCTTGCATAATCACTGCTTTATTGTACTTACTGCATTTAAAAGTACAGGAGTGCCCTGGGCTTGCAGCTTCACATGCACAGCTTGTGAGGCCGGGACTGGCAGTAGCAGTTTTGGAAGCTGAACTGTTCTGGGTGAAATTTAGCATAGAGCAGTGATGTTTTTCATGATGTTTTGTTGAGATTGGGGTGAGAATTTCCTTTTCCCCCTCCCCCCCCTTTTTCTCCTTTTCCTGTGTGTGGGACAGGCATTTGCAGAAATGCTGTTCATTTTGCCCCCATCTGCCGTTGGCCAGTGATGCTGGGGAAATGGGTTATGTTTTCTGGCTCGTGGAGCACTGTGCTGTGTTGTATTATAATAAACAGCATAGGAACCTTTCTGACAGATGTGACTAATGCTTTCATCTGCTCCTGTTTCTGGGTCTAACCTGAAGGCTCATATAACTGAAGTAATCCAGATGCGTTCTTTTAATTAATAGACTTCCTTAGAAGAATTCTTGGTGTGAGCTGAGATGAAGCTGTTGGTTGTGTTCTTGCGAAAGGTATCTGTGAAATATCCTTGAGAGAATTGAACTTCTTAGTGCAGTACAAGCTGGGTAATCCTACCTGTTTCTGTTGCAGGTCGGGAGTTCATTATCCCTTCGCTGGCACACAGGTTCATAGCAGAGATGGTGGATTTCTTCATTCTGTTCTTCATAAAGGCAACCATAGTTTTAAGTATTATGCACCTCAGTGGGATAAAGTAAGTAGAACAGTGTAAAGGTTTATTGTGTACAGCTTTAAGGTCTTTGTGCTCTTTGAGGTGTCATGATGTATATGTGCTGTGGTTATGCATCTGATGTCTCTTTCTTAACTGGCACAGGTAGAGGAAACAGCCCCACTATAGGATAACCTCCTTTTAAATCTTTCCTGATCTGGGGTCAGCTGATGGCAGGGGGAAGAATTTTGGAGTAATTTTGTAGGCTCACAAACTCGTTACTAAGGATTAATTAGACTGACCTGCAGTGTATGATTTTGAGGAAATTAGCAAGAATTTTTCTAAATGCTCTTAAAAAATCTCTGTGGGAAACTTTGTTTAAAAAAGGTTTTTATTTCAGATCACGTCAAATATGTATCAGCAGGAAGGTTGCTAGGAACGTTGCCATGCTGCAGGCTTTAGTGTGCATAAGCTGGAGGGAAAATGGAATAAGCATCTTATGCATCAACTCTGCACCAGAATGAAAGTCTTCACGTTTTTATACTTGATGTATTTGGTTTTTTTAGTGCTTAATTACCTCAAAGGCTCTCTCCTTCTGCAATGGTTCTTATTCCATAGCTGATTCAGTTCCTCTACTTTGATACATTCAGATATTTCAGTCTCATGAGGAGATGGAGGCTTAGTATGGTCATACACTTACATTTCAGAATTGAAGGTTTCTGCTAAAACAGCCTTCCAAATGTTGGCTGGATGTAAACTGATACTACAGAGATAACATCTTTTGGACAGGTTGAACTGCTGCTTGAAGGGTGTGGGGAAGAGGCTTAAAACCAACACAATAAACGTCAGTGTAAATTTTCGGTGTTCGTTGTTCAAATAAGAAGGCAAATGAAATGCCAACCTCTCAGCTCTGTTCAGTTGCCAAAGCCTCCAACTCTAACCTGGCAGCTTGTATTTCTAGCTTGGTTTTGTAGGCCCAAAATGATACAGAAGGTACAGGAAAGAGAACAGCTATACGTGCATTGCTTCTGCAAAAATGGTGGTGGTGATTGGAAGAGAATCTTTTTCTTTTTGAATTAATGTACGGCATATCGAATATTACTGCTCTTGCAAGAGCTACAAAGTTGATTATAAGCAGCTTCAGAAAAACATTTGTTTTTGCTGGTGAGCTGTGTGCTGGAGCCAGGCTGAGCTGTCGTGAAAAAGCACGTCCTCACTGAAGACAAACGCTTCGGGCCAACATTGCACAATCTGCACAAAAGCAGATTGTGCCATACTATCATTTTCTCTGTTCCTTATCTTTTTTGATCCTGAACAGAGAGGAGAGCAAGTAGTGCACGTATGGGTTGTTTTCAGGTGGGACCACACCTATTTGAATGGAAATCATAGTCTGGATAGGTCACTGAAAAGTCACCTCCCGAGCACACATTGCAAGTGTGCCTATTCCACGTATCAGATGTCAGATCTGTGCTTTGGCTTGTGAAAATACACAGCTGATTCCAGGCTGCTGCTTTGCATAGCTTCAGTAGGGGAAATGGCTCAAAGTTTCAACTGCTCGGTGAAAGCATTTTGAAACTGCTGAGAAGACAAACCCTGGTCATGCAAAGGAGGAGAAATGTCCTTTGTTGCCTGGTGACTTGCAAGTTCTGCCTTACAAGAGAACAACGCTTTGGGTTCCCATCTCCCTCGCCTACCTTTTAATGAAGATACTTGTATCTGTGGACTGTGGAATCCCTTGTTTATCTCTCAAGAATGAGAGTTTTCCTAACAGTTCTGCAGCTCACTACATAGGCCATCCTGTTGCAAACGTGGTAACAGTGAATTTTTTCATAATGAAAAACCAAACAGCAACTCAGAAGGAAGCCTACCAGTGTTGGGAATTTTAGTGGATGGCTTAAGATCACAGAAGCTGAAAGGCTATTATTCTTTTTTAATAACAGACTGAAGTGAATTCCAGTATTAGAAGGGACAAATGAGTTCTGGCTTTTGTGTAGTGTTTTGTTGTTGCTGTTTTGTGGTTTTTTTTTAAAGTTATCTTATTTTCAACAGAGACATCTCTAAATTTGCTATGCATTACATAATAGAAGAAATAGATGAAGATACATCCATGGAAGATTTGCAGAAAATGATGGTAGTAGCTCTCATCTACAGGTTGTTAGTCTGCTTCTACGAGGTAACTACTCCTACATTGGAACTTCTATAATTCATACGTGGCAGTTCTCAAATCAACAAACAAAACAAATGTATCATCAGTGGCCAGTGAAGTAAATCCTTTTTACTGAGTTCTGTGAAGCTACGTGACTTTCAGTTGAAAGCTAAGTTTGCCATAGCAGTGAACTGCAGTGCGTTGTGGAATTGAAATAACTGTTCTTTTTGCAGATAATCTGTATTTGGGGAGCAGGCGGAGCAACCCCGGGGAAGTTCTTGCTTGGACTGCGAGTTGTGACATGCGATACGTCTGTGCTCATCGCGCCCAGTCGTGTGTTAGTCATTCCATCCTCTAATGTCAGTATGACAACGTAAGTATTTCATGTTAATGGTATGGAAAGCGTGCAGTTTGGGAGGAGATGCACCGTGTTTTTACTGTTGGCTTTGCTGCAATTGGATTGCCAAGAGCCATTCTCAGATACTTTCAATATAACAATTACTCAGTTGTGAATATTTTCCAGTTCAGGTGGTAAAATAATCTCTAAACTCTGGAGGTCGTGGGTTCGAGGAAAGCAGAAAAGTGACAATAAGGCACTGAATACCTTTATTCTCTTTTCAGGTCTACGATAAGAGCTTTGATCAAGAATTTTTCTATTGCTTCATTTTTTCCTGCGTTCATTACGCTGCTGTTTTTTCAGCACAACAGAACAGCCTACGATATTGTAGCAGGAACTATTGTGGTAAGAAGAAATGGGATCAGATGATATCAAAAGATGACAGACTCCCAGACTGTTTTTGAATACCGTTCCCAAATGAACAAAGACCTACCCCGAAACTGACACCGAGATGACCGTCCGAATCTTAAGCCCAAATTAAAGCAGAATGATTCTGCAGCTAAAGGAAATGCGTTGCTCCAGAGCGGTGCCGGCAGCTACCTTCAAAGTATTGGAGTTCTCACCAATGCCAAAGAACTGTGAGAGAAATGATGTGTATTAACTGCAGCTTGAAATTAAGTGGCTCTCTTAATAACTGCAGAACGCTGCTGTTCTGTTTGTCATCCTGGGGTGAAAGCAGATACTGAGAAATACTCCACCTCGAATGAGGTGTTTTTTCTGCACTTTTGGGTATTGGAGGGAACTAACTAGAAAATGTTTTCCAAGCAGTTGCCTGAGTTGTGTCGTTGCAGACTCTTTGAGGGGAAGGGAACTGCGGTGTTGGAGAGTAAGGCACATTCACTGAGTTAGTGACAGGTGTGTAGAAAGAAAACAGTGTTTATCGCTGCCTTTATTATTGCTTCACAGATCATATTCCCTCACTTCTTAAAAGTATTTTATCTGAATATTGATGTGACAAGTTTTTTTTGCATGATTATCTTAAGTATTGTCTTTTATTTAATGTGTCAAAGCTAATGAGGTGAAATGGTAGCTGCTTTTTATCTGGAAAGGGCATTTTACACTGCAGTGTTAGTGAATTGCCCTGTATATAATTTTGGAGCTGTGAACAGCACACGTAATTTGCTTCTCTCTGGAGTGAAAGCACTTGTCTATTTCTTGCATATAATATCAAGCAAAACAGCTGACTGAGTTTCCAGGAGCATGCAGGAACTATTAACTGAAACACGTGTTATGGGTGTAAGTCTACCAAAGTACAAATACTACTTGTTTTCTCTTTATATTCTGGCTAACTGTTGGTATATTCAGAATAACTTAAAATACTGAATAAAAAAGCCTAATATTTTGCATGATTATACATAGCTTTGATTTTTGTTCTTATGGCATTAGCATCTTGGAAAGGGCCATCTACAACTGTGTTGATGTTCTATTAAAATTTGAAGAGTTTAGAATTCTCCCAGAGCAGTTTTTGTCTGCTCTTCTCTGAAGCATACCTGCCGCTCTGCTGCTGAAATTCTTACCCTTTCTTCCCTTCTGGAGGCAGACAATGGAAGTACTTGTACGAGCTCTTCTTCTCTCTTCAGGTCAAACAGCTTAAAAGCAGTAACATGTTAATATTCTGCATTAGTTTAGTTTGACAAGGGCTGCTACTTTGTTTATGAAGAGAACTTTTTGCATACACTTTCTGATCTTTATTTGCCATCTGTTGAGAATGGCATTTTCTCCTCACTGAACTTTCTAGAACTTTCCAGAATGAAGTCTCTGCCTTTTTGGATAATAACTCTCAGATTCTTTGCTATGAGCAATCATTTGTCTTACCTAGAAAGCCCACTTCCAATTGCATCATCAGAAAATGTATCTGTACAAAACACGCAGAACAGCACTGCTGATTTGAGTGCTAGAAGTTGAGGAGGGGCTGCCCAGCCTGACAGAAGCTGAGGTTGTTAGAACTGACAAAAGCCATGCTGGGTTGGGTGTTCCCTATTTATATTTTCACCATGAATACAGATAGAACTTGTGTTCTTGTAGTGGTGATCTAGAAACTGGGATCCAGGATGGAGGCAGGTAGAACCATAGCTGGATAAAATTTCAGTGTTAAAGCTTCAGATTTTTCTTAGCCTGGAGAAAAATACAACCCTGTCCAGAGCAGGCAAAGAAAAAATTACAATTCAGAAAAGCTGGCCAGGGAAAAACAAATATCCAGTTGCCTGGACAAGTGCATGTTTATTTTTCCGGTTTGTAGGTTCTATACTTGGCAGGTAAAAGGGCTGAGGAAAACTGAGTGGCATTTCTCTGATTTGGACACCTGGAAATATCTAACTGCATATAATCTGTCCACAGCAGTAAGATGTGACCACGTGAATAACAGCTTAGCTCCGTGCTTTTCAAGTCCCGTTGCTAAACGCTTTTTCTGTGTATGGAAATACTGATCCATTCTACACATGCTGCAAGACTGACAGAAGTGAAAGTTGGCCTTTGTCCTCCTGTGAAGCGTAGCTCACAGTTGGAAGACTTTCAGAACATGGGCATGTATGGCTGTAGAAATGCAAAGCAGCACTGAATGGCAAAAGTGCTGCCAAGTAACCACTAACGTATCTGAAATTATGTATATCAACTCCAAGCCAGGTGGGCCATGCAGGCTTTTCTCCCCTGGCACTATGAGATGGCAGTGGTGCTTTCACTGTTTGCTGCAGTAAATGGCTGGATCTTAACCATAAACTAAATGCTATTGCTTACCAAAAGCTCAGCTGTAGTCCCTGAAGAAGCAAGAGCCTCCTTCCTTCCTCTATTAGACTGTCTGCTCTCTAAGAAACTTTTCTCACTCCTGTAGAAGTGGAAAAAAAACACATCATCCACTTACAGTTGGGTATATTTTGTTGTGGTGAATGTTTCTACAGTTAAGTTTTGTAGCAGAAGTTAGCCTCATAGCTACGATAGTTGAGTCACACTTATGGCTCCTAGCAAGCCTACAACAAAACTCTAACAAGTGAGAAGCTCCAGTTCCCTGCTCATTTAAAGAGTTCTCAAGTCCACTGTGGTGGCAGAAAGCATGTGACAGCACGGGGCATGAGCACACTGCCTTGCAGCACAGCTGCAGTCACCGAGGCCTTCGTTTGGAGTTAAAACTGCCAGACAATATTTCATATTTTTATTGATGGCATTTATCCCATGGTTTAACATGTTAATTATACTGTAATAAACATGGCTTTAATATTAAACTTTTCCTTATTATCCAAAGTCACCACAGTCCATTTCAGTAAATATAAAAATATATACTTAATACTTTGTACAATACTGGTTTTTGGTCCAAACAAAAATGGATCAGAAAAGCCAATAAACTTACTTTAAGAATTCCCAATTTTAAAGATTTTCTAAATGGATTTAGGCAACTTTGAATAATGGGATTTACATAATAAAATCTGAGACAATACTAAACAAAAATGGCCGTAACACACAAAATTAAAATTTCCATTTCACAGATCTGTTATGCCAAAAAAGTACATAGAGAAACAAAACTGTATTTACACGTTTCATAATAAAATAACAAAGGCGAGACAGGTGATAAAGGGCTGTAAGAATGAAAATATAGAAATAGCATATAATTATTAAATGGAGAACTACAGATCTAACAAGTCCTTAGCATGAATCGTCCTGTAATCAGTCTTCCTCTATCAGAAAATTTTAGTGCACGATACACCCAAACTCACTCACTTCACACATACACCGGCACAACTCAGCATAGAAATCATTCGTTACCAACATTCTCTACTCTATACAGAACCCCTCACTGGTATAATTACATTTCGGAGGCGTCAGTAAACGCAGATGGGCGCACGGAGCGGTGCAGATGCAGAGGTATTGTACAAGCCATTCAGTGCGCACTGCGCGCATCCCGATAGCCGAACCATGCCGAGTCAGGGACAGAAGTAACTTCTGGATTCTAAAATAGGTTTGCTTGAGAACGGCCCCGGTGCCAACTCTACTTGTTACAAAAAAACTAAAGGAGGGAGGGAAGGAAAGGGCAGCAGAGTTCTATATTCCTTTAGGCAGATCTGACTTCAGCTAACCCAGCATGAGGTACGATCCCAACAACTGAACAATGCAGGGCAGCAGCTGCTCTCAGAGTTGCTTTACCAATCGGCGATTACTTTCTACGTCTAACTGCAGTCTTTATCTTCCGACCAGAAACTGAAGATCCAGAGGCAGAGAAAATATTTTTTCCATTAGTCCTATCAAAAGAAATTAGCAGTGCAGAGTTTAGGACAGTATAGTCGACAATGCAGTAGCAGCACTGAGCAGATATTCCAGAACAACTGTTTTATCATCTGGCTCACTAGTTAGCAGCTGGCAACACGCAGCGTATGACGAACAGGAAGAGAGTTCCAGAAACCAAAAGCAATTAAATCTCTCATTCAGCAGGTAAGCAGCACACAGTGGCTAAATGCAGACCTTGTTTTTCAAGAACATTTCAATGGGTGCACGGTATTTCTGAGAACTAGGCTGCTGTCAAGCTAGCGCTGCTCACTTAGCTGCTCACGCTAACAGAGCGAGGAAAGCTGCCGTGCTTAGACATAAATTCCAATGTTCATCTGAGCACCTCACAGTTTAACATCAGTAGAGGCTGCACACAGTCCACTGACACTACCAAAAGCTCAAGTGAAATTCTGATATGGTCTCTTACCCCACTGTAAATGCTGGAGACAGGCTGAATGAAAATCCTGAAGAGCCAGAAGGCTGTACCGGTGCTGCTGGTGCAGGGGGATTTGCACCAAAAGTAAATACTTCTGGGTTACTTGTAAAGTTGAAATTAGAAGTACTACTTCCAAACTGGAATACGGGACCTAAGAAAGATGGGGCAGAAGCAGAAAGGAATAAGAAAATGAAATCTGAGTTCATTCTTTCCAGCAAAAACCTTATCATCCTCCCTCTACCTCTGTCACACATTGCTCAAGATGGCAAACCTTGGGGTGGGAGGAAGGTTTACCAGAAACGCTAAATTACCACAGGAGCAACACTAGAAAACTTCATTTGCTGCATTAGAGAATCATAAAGGGATTCTAAATAAGATTGCTGGCACACTGCTAATGAACTGTTTCCTGCTATCTGTATTGCCATTAATTTATGCCTGCATGCACTGAAATATATCAATGAAGTCTCAAATTGCAGTACTGAATTATCATTTACCATTTAAACAAACTTTGTTGTGTAACTGCAGTCTGGAAAATAACATTAACCGTTCCTACAATCAAAGTAACACAGACAAACCACGGGGACTTTTCTCTTTAAACTCCTACTTCATTCATTACAGAAGGAAAGAGCAACTGACACGGTGTGCCAACTAATTACTGATTAATACAAATGCAGGCTGCTTTCAACAGAGAGTATTCTGTAAAACATCCGAGAAGAAAAGAGGCTTTTCTTTTCTAACTGGCCCTAACCCTTTTCTGTATCTGATGCTGTTATCAAATACAAGTGTTTTACCTATGAATGTGTTTAGTTGAAAAAATAATTACTACTGTGGAACAGGTCTTGCACTTAAATTGCAAGGATCATTCTTGCCAGCATATTCCAGAAAAAGAACTTTAAATGAAGCTTTCTCCCATACAGGTCTAGTTCTAGCAATGTATCTCACACAAGAAAGTCTCCAATCCAAATAAGTTGGCAAAAAAACCTGAAAACTACTCTGTAACAAATCCCAAAACAACTGCGCAGCGCTTCTGCTGCTCTGGTCTGTCTGTACAACCTACGTGTACCTGCACATCTCTGGTCCTCCCTTTTATGGAGGTTAATTCTTACAGTTGAGTACGTGCACAAGGCAGAAGTCATCTCACTCACTAAACTTCAGATGCACTTCATGGAAAACAACCCACCGACCAAGCAAGCTCTCTGTGAGACCAGAAAGGAAGAGGATGGTCAACACTCACCAGCACTGGAGGTGCCGGAGCCAAAACCCGGTTGTTGGCTCGACTGCTGTCCAAACACAGGGGACTGAGTGCTGCTCGTCACAGAGCCGAAGGCAGGAGGCGCAGGCTGAGGGCCAGCTGAAAACAGCGTTGTTGACAGGGATCCAAAGCTGGGAGCGTTCGGCTGGCCGGGGCCCTGGCTCTGGCCAAATGCTGGTAGCTGACCGGCACCAAAGGCCGGGCCAGCAGCGGGCGCTGAAGACCCAGACCCAAAGACAAATGAAGAGGACGACCCTCAGGGAAAAGAAGAGCAATTTCAGCATGTGCTGGGCTGTTTCGTTTGTTACAGAGCTTATGTTTGCAGCCGGGTAGGTAAAACAACAAACAGTACCTCCTTCATAATAGGAATTATACCTTTTCTTGTAAGAAAGATGAAAAACAGCGTGCTTTCAAG